TTGAACTCAGCGTTTCAGTATTCATTGAGAAACGTCAGAGAGTTTGACTGCATGATTGTTGACAAATATCCTCGCTATTACCCATCCTAATGAACAAAACGAAGAAATGCACTTCCAAACCATCGTAGTATCGACTCGATCCGTGTCTAGGCTGACAGTGACAGTCTACAGCAATCTATGAATTTAATTTAGTGTCTATTTGACACATCTTTAATCACCTTTCATTGATCGGCCACTGATCAATGATGACTAAAACATTTAACAGCCACAGGTTCATTAACAACTTCCTAAATCTCTCCCATCACGTTTATCGTGTCGGCCATTTTGACGTCTTGCACTTAATGTAAATGTATTACGACGCGCTGTCATTGAGACTGACTTACTGAGGTAGTTCTTAACAGACCTTTCTCATCTAGTGAGGATATTATTTGAGTACATTCGTTTCCAGAAACTACAAAAGTCGTTGAGCATGTTTAGCATACGTAAGCTTATGTCACCTCTCGTTTTGGGGAACTATTTTTATTCCGCAATACAGCTGGTTGTTGTATGGTTGTCAGTGTAAACATGAAGTCATACGTACTAAATATAATTGTGTATAGATCAAAGTCTACGTACGTTCTTTGAGGTAAAAATAGTGATATAAAAAATTATAAGAATTAACTTTCACTTTGTGTGGGTTCATTGGAGTATGAACCTTCATAGAGCGAGGGCCAAAAATTGTATGAACATCGTTGCAAGCTCTGACATTCATACAGTTAGGCCCTCACTCTATAAAGATTCATACTCCAATGAACTCACACAAAGTGAAAATCAATTCTTCTATGATTTTTAACACTGATACAATGAATAAACCAAATGCAATGATTGTGTGTCATTGGTCGTTGCCCAGCTCATGATGCCAATCACTGGATTGTGATTGATACATTGTGTTACTTACGTATGATTGTGTGTCACTGGTCGTTGCCCAGCTCATGATGCCAATCACTGGATTGTAATGGATACATTGTGTTACATATGATTGTGTGTCATCATTATTTACCAGCTGCCTCGATTATTTACCTGCTGCCTCGATTATTTACCTGCTGCCTTGATTATTTACCTGCTGCTTTGATTATTTACCTGCTGCCTCGATTATTTACCTGCCGCCTTGATTATTTACCTGCTGTCTTGATTATTTGCTAACTTACTGGTGTTAGGCTGACTGCATTAAAGAGATGACCATGTTTTCAATCTAACTTGTTGTTTGCCAACGGTATTAAATGACTGCCACAGAAATGCTACAAAGTTGCCTTGCTCTAAGATTACCAGTGATTATAGAGGATGGTAATTGCCTTTGACAAAAGCCTGTGTAAGTTGAAACCATATGCCGGATGTTAATATCCGGATTAGTCACAGGTAGGTAGGGGACAAGAATTCCATCTCCTGGGGGCAGCCTAGGATCTTTGATGGACTCAGAATATTTTTTTCAGCACTTTCAAGACATTTTTTCTTCTCTGAAAGGAGAAGATGAACAATTATTTCTTTTCACAACACATTAGTTTTGGTATAGTCCAGAATGTCCAACAATCATTTTTGTGTGTGTTTGTTTGTTTGTTGTTTAATGCATCACACAGCAATATTCCACCTATATGATGGCGGTCTGTAAATAATCAAGTCTGGACCAGACAATCCAGTGATTGACATCATTAGCATTGATCCACGCAATTGGGATACCATGACATGCATCAACCATGTCAGTGAGCCTGACCACGCGAATCCCGTTAGTTGCCTCTTACGACAAGCATGGGTTGCTGAAGACCTATTCTAACCCGTGTGTATAAAACCTGAAACAAAATGTTTTTTTGTCCCTGTATGTTCTGGAACAATATGTTTTTTGTTGAATATCAAATAGTTGGTTCCAGTGTTACACCACCTGAAATATCAGCTTGTGACTATAAGCTGAAAACTTGTCAAAAACAAAAGTTAGACTTTTCTCTCTTATCATCTATGGATAATGTGAGTCAAACTAGGACTGATTTAAGGTAAAAAGACCTGGATATAGTAAGTATTGGTCACATAACTTATTGTGTGGTATGATTAACAAGTGACTATAGAAAGGTGAGGTGAAATTGGTTTTAACGTCGCGTCCAAGATTATTGCACTTATATAGCGACGTGCATGCAGGTGTGTGTGTGTGTGTGTTGCTGCTTGTACTAGTTTGGACTGATGCCGATTTATAGGGCTAGCTCACTGAGATACCATGCCGCTCTCCGGGTGGACGCTCTACCACTAGACCACAGAGGCGGTCTCTATAGAAAGGTAAAACATTGATGATTGTTCGATGCGGACCAATAGATATCCATCTTGTGTGTGTCCCTGTGTGCATGTGCCATAGTGTTTTTGTGTAGTTGCAGTGTTCCTGTTTACCTGTAATTACCAGTTTTTTACAGGTAAAATTAGGCTTGGACCGGTAAACCATGTGACTGCCCCTGTCGACCAGCAAATAAAGTTCCTTATAAATCTTTGTTGTTGAACAAAACATCAGCAATATTCATATAAGTATATTTTTTTAACGAAGTCAGCTTGTCTCTTACCATCAGGGTTTCCCCTTGTCTATTTTTGGTGCAAGGAAATAACATTTCGCTTTGCTTCAAGATTAAAAATATATTTGTAGTGACTTCTTCTAAATATTAAAACAAGAGAGAAAGTAAATATTGACTGAACTTTGTGTGAATGATGTGCAGATCTAGCTAAGTTACTTCAGAGATGACGTAATTGCTTGGAACATGATGTTGAAATAATTGTAACAGGTAATTTTCATTCGTTTTTTTTGTTGGTTGAAAGTTGGGACTGACAAAAAATAGGGGGCACTGGTAATTTTTGGAGTTACCAGTCCATCGGGATTGGCAGTTTCAAAAGCCCACAGGAACACTGAGTTAGAAAAAAATAATTTGTAATTACAGAAAAAAATAATTTGCCTCTGGTTTTACCCAAAGAAATGCTCCTTGTGAAATGAATGTGTTGTGAAGAATTGTTCAGAGAAAAAAAAGTCTTGAAGCAATGACTGATTTTAATATTCAGTTTTAACAAATAATACCAGCATGCTTCCCCCCCTCTGCGCTCTCTTAATGACAAATGCATAAAAATAAAGAGAAACATGAAATTTTTCACAGTATTTCATCATATGAAGTAATCATCATATAGGATAGAATTGTCTGAAATCAAAACCTGGCTAAAAAATTATTCCTTCAGGACAAATTACTTGACTATTTATTGGTTCAGTCCAACCATATGTCTTCCATATAGTTTGTTCTTGATACCATGATATTAGGGCTAAGATGCAAATCCTCGTTTTTTGGTCATAATTGTGGTTTAACCACAGGGTGGATGTAGCGTTACAAGTTTCTTAAGATCTTGTTAAATCTTTGAGATTTGTTCTGCCTAATCTGCGTGGGCAATCTGGACAATACACCATACTGTAGATGAATTGAAGCGGTTTAAGGTTCCTGTGAACCCGAGGTATGGTGTATTTCTGGTCAATTGTGCGTCTCCGCAGGAGTTGGATAATGATAGCATCCATCTAGACAGGTCATTATCTTCTGTAGAAACACGGCTCAGAGGAGAAGTATCTTAAAAAGTTGTTTTTTTGAAAAACTTGGCGAAGAGTTTTGTGTAAAGTTGGTCAAGGTAATTAGGTATTAGGAGCGAGCAGATGTTTTTGACAAAGTCTTGTGAAAGATTTGTCACATGGTTGGTTTTCGTGCTGTGTCTTACATAGGCATCATGTGCAGCCATCTTGTGTTAATTATGAAGCCTTACATGAATGCCATGATGACAGGGGAGGTATTGAGCTCATGGCCATGCTGTTAGATTGTAGGATGCTGACTGGGGTGGATCTGATGATACATACAAGGTGCTGGGTGGGTCTCGTGTACACCTCCATCCCTCCATACCAGGTGCTGGGTGGCCCCTAGTATCTCAATGTCTCCCTGTGGGGTTGTAGGGTAGAATGGGCCCCTAGTATCTCAATGTCTCCCTGTGGGGTTGTAGGGTAGAATGGGCCCCTAGTATCTCAATGTCTCCCTGTGGGGTTGTAGGGTAGAATGGGCCCCTAGTATCTCAATGTCTCCCTGTGGGGTTGAGTGGGCCCCTAGTATCTCAATGTCTCCCTGTGGGGTTGTAGGGTAGAGTGGGCCCCTAGTATCTCAATGTCTCCCTGTGGGGTTGTAGGGTAGAGTGGGCCCCTAGTATCTCAATGTCTCCCTGTGGGGTTGTAGGGCAGAATGGGCCCCTAGTATCTCATGCTTGTCTCCCTGTGGGGTTGTAGGGTAGAATGGGCCCCTAGTATCTCAATGTCTCCCTGTGGGGTTGTAGGGTAGAATGGGCCCCTAGTATCTCAATGTCTCCCTGTGGGGTTGTACGGCAGAATGGGCCCCTAGTATCTCAATGTCTCCCTGTGGGGTTGTAGGGTAGAATGGGCCCCTAGTATCTCAATGTCTCCCTGTGGGGTTGTAGGGTAGAATGGGCCCCTAGTATCTCAATGTCTCCCTGTGGTGTTGTATGGCAGAATGGGCCCATAGTATCTCAATGTCTCCCTGTGGGGTTGTTGGGTAGAATTGGCCCCTAGTATCTCAATGTCTCCCTGTGGGGTTGTAGGGTAGAATGGGCCCCTAGTATCTCAATGTCTCCCTGTGGGGTTGTAGGCTAGAATGGGCCCCTAGTATCTCAATGTCTCCCTGTGAGGTTGTAGGGCAGAATGGGCCCCTAGTATTCCATGCTAGTCTCCCTGTGGGATTGTAGGGTAGAATGGGCCCCTAGTATCTCATGATTGTCTCCCTGTGGGATTGTAGGGCAGAATGGGTTCCTAGTATCCAATGATTTTCTCCCTGTGGGATTGTAGGGCAGAATGGGCCCCTAGTATTCCATGCTTGTCTCCCTGTGGGATTGTAGGTCAGAATGGGCCCCAGTAGTCTGTCATCTCTGTACATGATCCTTCTCTGACTATCTGGCTTCTGTTACAGATGCAGCCAGCACACGGTGCTGGACATCGCCTACTACGACCCAACGTCGCTGTCCCTGCTGCTGCAGGAGGAGGGGGAGGACGGCCGCCCCGTGCTGCTGCAGCTCTCCATGTCCATCCTCAACTCCAGCAAGTTCACCAAGTTGGCCACCACGGAGAACATTGCCTCTCTTAGTCACATGTAGGTATAGCCACCATGGAGAACATTGCCTCTCTCAGTCACATGTAGGTAGAGTCAGTCACATGGAGAACATTGCCTCTCTCAGTCACATGTAGGTATAGCCACCACAGAGAACATTGCCTCTCTCAGTCACATGTAGGTAGAGTCAGTCACATGGAGAACATTGCCTCTCTCAGTCACATGTAGGTAGAGTCAGTCACATGGAGAACACTGCCTCTCTCAGTCACATGTAGGTAGAGTCAGTCACATGGAGAACATTGCCTCTCTCAGTCACATGTAGGTATAGCCACCATAGAGAACATTGCCTCTCTCAGTCACATGTAGGTAGAGTCAGTCACATGGAGAACATTGCCTCTCTCAGTCACATGTAGGTAGAGTCAGTCACATGGAGAACATTGCCTCTCTCAGTCACATGTAGGTAGAGTCAGTCACATGGAGAACATTGCCTCTCTCAGTCACATGTAGGTAGAGTCAGTCACATGGAGAACATTGCCTCTCTCAGTCACATGTAGGTAGAGTCAGTCACATGGAGAACATTGCCTCTCTCAGTCACATGTAGGTAGAGTCAGTCACATGGAGAACACTGCCTCTCTCAGTCACATGTAGGTAGAGTCAGTCACATGGAGAACATTGCCTCTCTCAGTCACATGTAGGTAGAGTCAGTCACATGGAGAACACTGCCTCTCTCAGTCACATGTAGGTAGAGTCAGTCACATGGAGAACATTGCCTCTCTCAGTCACATGTAGGTAGAGTCAGTCACATGGAGAACACTGCCTCTCTCAGTCACATGTAGGTATAGCCACCATGGAGAACATTGCCTCTCTCAGTCACATGTAGGTATAGCCACCATGGAGAACATTGCCTCTCTCAGTCACATGTAGGTAGAGTCAGTCACATGGAGAATATTGCAAGTCATTTCCATGACTGGAATATGAACTGATTTAGGACGAGTGTTGCAGTGTTATTTGTCACTTTCATGAATCTGCTGTGATAAGGTGGGGCACTTGTCTTGTGTTGTGGTCAGTCACCACAATGGACAAAGGGGCTTGCTGTGTTTGGGGCCTCATTATTTGTAACAAGAGTAACTTCCTCAATTTCTGTGCAAGACCTCTCCCACTTTTGGAACCATAAACTATAACAATATTTAGATTTGATTCAGGAAAGAGAAACAGATTATCATATTTCAAAGAATATTTTCTATGTGAAACCACCTTAATTTTCTGAAAAATCTCCATGAATCAAAATATTATCACATAAGCATGACCATGAATAACTAAACTGCCCTCGGCAACCAACAATAGCTTCCGCCACGTTACTCGGCATTGTCCCGAGTATCGGCATCCGTTAACTCTCATCGGCTGATCCAACCTTGATCGTCGTGGGCACAATATGGGTGTCCTCCTCAACACTAGGTGGGTCATCCCATTGTCTACAGGGCAGGGGGGCAACCCAGGTCAACTCTAATGTCCCTCCTTTCAAAGAGAGCAGGAGCCATCTTTGTCAGCCCCCTGTCTCCTTCAAGGGATTCACCCTCCTGATTTGAATGCTGGGTGAAGTCAGGTGGGTAGGGCGTGTGTCTTGAGGGGAAGAGGTCCGGGCATCCGTGGTGATCCTTGCCCCCCCTAGAGAAAGATGGTTCATGGAGAAACACTGATGACTCTTCAGCTGGAGGAGGAACAAAGATAGTCCACAGATGTCTCCCAACCTCTGACCTTCAGTTCTGCTAATCATCCAATCAGATAAAAAGTGTGCCGATCTTTATGAAATATCTGTGACTTTATGGATGTATTAGAAGGTGTGGATTGAGAGGCCGACTGATTGAGGGAGTGTGGCCAGATGGAGATGTACGTCTTTGATGTCTTGTCTTGTCAGCTGGGCTTGTGGCTTGTGTTGAACCTTTTGACTTGTTCCGCGAGACAGGTCCGACAAGGGGACACATGGTACCTAGGTTAAAGCTTGAATCAAGAGGAATTAGCGGAAAGACTAGCCACTAGTCCGAAGCCCAAGTCTAAAAGAATTCTGTTTGGTCTACTAAGCTGAGCTAGTAATCTAATTACAACATCACAAATCTACAAAAATTGATTCTTACGCCAAGTTATGGATATTAGACACAAAAGTGTTTGGCACAGACTGAAGAATTGTCAGCACTTGGTCATTAAATAAGGCCCATTCCATTCAGATTTGGCTACTCAAGCCATAGACATTTTTTTTTCAATCATTAAGTACTACTTGTGAAATACTGCTATTGTTCCATGATACACCTAAATTCGTAGGATATATATGGATATATGAATCAGCTATTTATCAGCTATATAACTGCAATAGCATGAAGACACCTCAAAATAAACTTGTAATTACTACTGTAAATCTTGAAATTAATCCGTCGCCAAATCAATACGACTGCTGACATCTTGCCAGAAATGCGACTCAATATTAATGCGACTTGGGTTTATATTACCGCTATCCAAAGTGTGCAGTGAGGCTGTCTTATTGTTGATAGTCATTTGGAGACATAAATGAGAGACCGCCTCCGTCTGTCTGAGTAGGGTAATTATGTTAAACTCTGGCATGGTATCTCAGTGAGCTAGCACTATAAATCGGCATCAGTCCGGACTAGTACAAGCAGCCACACAAACACACACACATACATGCACGTCGCTATATAAGTGCAATAATCTTGGATGCAACGTTAAACCCCATTTCACCTCACCTCACCACATAAATGAGAAGTTAAGTTAATGCGTGCAAAGACCACTCACAATTTTTGCAGTTTATTCACGCTCACGTTAATTTCAAGAATTACGGTATTTACGAAGTAGGCTTTGTCTATCATGTAAATTTGTATCATTTGAATAACTGATCAGCTTTATCCCGTAAGTTAAAAAGTTTCAGCCAGATGTCTTGGCACACAGCCATCCAAAAAGCCATTGGTGATTACAGGCACTTCACACTGAGTGGCATGCTGTCCAATGTTTTCTTTTCAAACATTTCCATGCACAAGGTAGTATTAAAAATATCTGTTTTGTTTCGAAATGAATGATAATTGCCATTTAAAAGGTATGTCCTCAATTTGAACTTGTAGAAATTGATTAAGGAAAGTTCCAGGCAAGGTATATGTGACAGATTGTGTAGAGTGTGTCTACTTTGTCTTTGTACATGTCCCAAAGTTGACCTTAAAAACATTTCTGTTGATAACTAGCTTGCATTATTTCAAGGTCAGTCTATGGTCAGTTGTCCTCAGCAAAAAACACTCCCTTGTAATTTGTAGAAACATAACTCTCAACACAACAGAAGCTTGTCCTAAGCCTGAACCTACGATAGAGCACAGATTATCACCTTCGTCAAGTGTGTCAAGAGCTGGGTAATTTCGTATTAATCAACTACTGTAACCGGAAAATGTCGGAAACGCTCGTAATTACTACTTCATATTCCTTCTAAAACCAACAGCATGAACTTAATAAACTATTACAGCTCTCCTGAACTTCATCTAAACAATGGACGAAATAACCACCCCGATTCCATCACCGAAACTTTGTTACCGTGGGAGCCACCCTGTAATTACTAATTTCGATGACCATTTATCAACAAAGTTGGACAAAAAAGGTGTGATTATCACCTCAGCTATGACAGCTGGCCCCCCAACCAGGCACAACGAGTCGCCTCGCCCCCATGGCCTGAGGGGGTCAGGGTGGGAGGGCAGTGTGGGGTAGTGTTTGTCAGCTTGGGGGTCTGTTACGGAGCACTGACATTCAATTAGAAATGTTTATCAGCGGAACAAGTCGTACACTGTTGATGGAGGTAAATCTGAATTGTGTCACCTTGCTTGAGGGGAGGGGAGGATATGACGTTTCTTTGTATATTTGGAGAGTCATGGGAGATTGGAGATTGAAACTGATCTGAGTTATAATCTATGGAAAAAACATCCCTTTGGCACTCTTGATAGCAATAATATATTTACTATTAAATTATGAGATTATCAACACTTAGTGTCTTTTTTCAAAATATTTTGATATCTTACCGGCCATAACCTGGGGACATATCTGCCCTTTATTGAATTTGACCGCCTCCGTGGTCAAGTGGTAGAGAGCCCGCCTGGAGAGCAGAAGGTCCAGGGTTCGATCTCTGGCTGCGGCATACCAAAAGACGTTAAAAGATGGTACTTGTTGTTACCCTGTCTGGCGCTTGTCATTAAGGGGCTAAAACAAGAACTGGTTAGCTTGGAGTCAGTGTACTGTGTCTGAGTGGGGTATTCATGTAATTCTGTGGCATGGTATCTCAGTGAGCTAGCACTATAAATCGGCATCAATCCAGACTAGTACAGGCAGCCACACACCCAAACACATGTGCATGCAAGTTGCTATATAAGTGCAATAATCTTGGATGCGACGTTAAACCCCATTTCACCTCACCTTTTCTGAATTGTATCCTGTTTCAAGTATCAGGTTCTAATGCCTGAAGATGAATTCATTAAGTATGAAAAAGAGAATGAACTTAGTTACTGTTCATATTGAGCCTTACCTGTGAAGATCTGGGTTAGAAATGATTCTCAGCAACTCATGCTTGCCGCAAGAGGCGACTAACGGGATCGGGTGGTCAGGCTCGCTGACTTGGTTGATGCATGTCATCGTATCCCAATTGCGTGGATCGATGCTTATGATGTCGATCACTGGACTGTCTGGTCCAGACTCGATTATTTACAGACCGCCGTCTTATAGCTGGAATATGCAAGGGTCTAGAGATAAAGCTTCATCAGCAATGTGCATGGTTACATGATACATTTGGCATCTGGGTCAGTGGCATCATTTGAGGATGACAAATTGTATTAAATTTATTTAATATATGAAATAATATTTTCATTGGAATGTATTCTCATCTCTGTTGGTTTGTACTCTTAGCACACGATCAAGAAATACATGTCTGTTTGAACAGTATTTGTTTCAAAGAATACCATCATACCTAAAGACGTTAAAAGATGGTACTTGTTGTTACCCTGTCTGGCGCTCTGTATTAAGGGGCTAAAACAAGGACTGGTCGGCTCGGAGTATACTGTGTCTGTGTGGGGTACTCATGTTAAACTGTGGCATGGTATCTCAGTGAGGTAGCACGATAAATCATGAACTCAACTTCCATGTGTCATTGTGTGGGACCTTTAAGAGAATAATGTGTTTACTGTGTTGGTCCAGAAATGAGATGGACATCGGCAGTTTGGTCAGCGAGCACTCCTACCGCCATCTGGAAAACATGAAGGCCCACTCCTTCGCTGTCAGCGGCACCCGGAAGACGGCCACTGTTGTAAGTAGAGGACCTGACTCTGGATCCACTTTAGTCACCCTGTGACAAGCAAGTCTCACCATCCCTGAACAGATGGACACAGTACCAGGGCACGTGTTTTCACGGACACTGTCAATAGTGAATTGTTTGATGGGCATTACTTAGAAGTTGACAGATGACAAAGTAGACACAATTTATGGATAGCATCTTCATTAATACTGTAAAGGTGACGTTTCGATATAGATCCTTATACCTTTATCAAGCAAGACTGTCAATAGTGTTGCCTTCTTGTGAACTATAAACCTAGGAAAGTAATTCAAACCAAACGTTCTTTCTCATTTTATGTCCATCTTTGAAATCCATGCTATTTTTTTATGTTGTTAGGGAAACTAAACACCTGATTTTTTACTTCCATTTCAGTTGTTTTCTTCCAAACGTCGCGTGAGAATCTTCCTCATGGATGCAGAAGAGGAAGAAGATGATGACGATGAGGAAGATATCACCCACGGAGATGGGGAGATCGACAAGTCCCAAACGGAGAGCCAATCAGAACCGAGGGCGGAGGACAGCCAGGTGATGGAGGACGTTGGTGGGGACGAGGACAAGGAGAACACCTCCAGCATCTACTCCGAGGACTCGTGAAGGTCAAGGTCATACGCCATGGCTCTAGTGATTGAGGCTGTACATAGCTTTAAGCAATATTACTGCACTGTCACGACAGGGGCCACAAAGAATGAGCTGCACGTGGGATTCAAACCCAGGTTTGGGCATCAAAATCAAACCCTTTAGCTACTCTGCTACCCCTCCATCCCAAAAGCTGCAATCTCTCCTGTCACCAGGGACTCATGACATGCAGTGCAATATCACAACTGATGCACCAACTAGGATGATGTCTGCCTCCATTATAGCCAAACCATATACATGATATTGAGAATTTGGTAGAAAACCTACACCATCCAAACTTACTGGCTACAATTTCCTCAAAGCTTGAAGACTTAATGTGCCAGTATGTACTTCCAGTCCAAAAATATTACTTCATGACCTTGACCTTGACCTTAAGACAACTTCTTATGATCCAACAATTACCCATGTCTTTGGATTGTGAAGGAGTGGTCCGGTAGCCTAGTGGTTAAAGTGTTTGCTCATCATGCCAAAGACCCAGGTTAGATTCTTGACATGGGTACAATGTGTGAAGCCCATTTCTGGTGTCCCCCGCTGTGATATTGCTGGAATATTGCTAAAAGCGGCGTAAAACCATACTCACTCAGTCACTCACTTTGGATTGTACAAGTGAAAGTGCCACAATAACTGCCAGTGATGAAGCCATGTTTCACAATAACCTCAAAGATAACCTTGACCTATAATAAACATAGCACCAACATTAAATGTAGTGAGATTTGTAGAGATACATGGACCCCATGCAAGAGAAAGTATATGCCAAGTTTAATTTTGAGAATATTTGACAACATACTTTTTTGTGAATTTCTCCATACAAGGGCTATGTGGAATACCGTATTCGACATAATAAGCGCCCAGGCCACTCTCAAAATTAGAAATGGGGGGCTCTTATTAGAATATTATTTTGGTGAAAAACAACAGAGTTGAGAGATTTACATTTCGTGGTTTATGCTGACGGCCTGAAATGTTTATATACGACGGATATATTTTTCCAGAATTTTTTTTCCCATAATTAAGGGTGCATATAACATACGTATTATACAAGAATAAATATGTCTTGTGTACATTGATCTATCGGAAGGGGTGCTAATTGGGATTGTTCACTAGCCAATATATTAGCAAATATTGCCGTGGGCGTTTATTAGAGCAGGGCTCTTATTACGTCGAATACGGTATGTGGTTTATTTGATAGTTGGGATATGAATACGTTGAAGACAGAGAAGTTAATAAATACCCCGGAACTTTTACTATAGTAGTTTCTTGTAGATCCCAGAAAGAAAGTAAAAATTTAATTAAGTTGGATTTTATGTTGTTATATGTTTGAGATACTGTAATCTGCCTGATATGAATCCCATGTTGTTAGTGTATAAACAGTGAACTAGTGCCAGGGATGGTAATACTCTGTCTGCCCCTGTAGTCTTCTGTTTCATGGTTTCACTACTACTACAGGTTGTTGGGGGCACGGGTGGCCCAGTCGTCTAAGGCGCCGCGATTCGCTGTGCAGAGTTGCGTCCCTTGGGCACGCCAAAACCTATGATAGTGGGTTCAAATCCCGGTTCGCCCCGATTATGTTTCTAGGTTTGTCAGTACCATACCCGTGCTCGTGGGTTTCACCGAAGTGGTAAATGTCTGAGACCTGCATCACTTCGGGCTTTCCTCCCACATTAAGCTGACACGCCGCGAATATTGTTAAAAGCGGCGTTAAACCCAACTCACTCACTCACTACAGGTTGTTAGTACGCAGCCCTCAGTGCCAGGAGTATGTAGTCTGTATGATCAGACATGTGAACATTGTTACCAATTGTATGTATATTGGGTTTCCAGGCTGGATGTATTTGTACAATACATGGTGTGTAGGAGAGTCGACTGTTGTTACAGTGCAATAAACCTGTATCTGCTTTCACAGTGGTTGTGCTTATATTTTACTGGTGCTTCAAACACTATAGACATTTTTTGTTTTCCAAGTGGCCTTCAGGTCATCCTCAACAGTGAGCAATTGTTTAACACCACAGTCTGCAATTTTCCAGCGACATGATGGAGATGTGTAAGTTAGTAATCTACTCTGGGTCAGACAAGCCAGATTTACAAATCCTCACACCTGCATACCCAGAAGGGAGAGAATTTCATCGAGAATTTCAAGCTCAAATTCAGATGAGGCATTTCTGAGTGTGAACTGATTTAATGCTATGATGACACGCAATCAACCAAGTCACCTGATCCATTTGGTCTCCTCTTATGACCAGCCTGGGTTGCTGGGGCCCAATAATCTCAGAATACACCAATCTCATTAAAATCATATCTAAGTTCTCGCTGCCGCTAAACAAAGATCTGTGGACATCCCATTACAGGTGATGTCAGAACGACCTTTCGCAAACTTTGACCGACCACTGAAATTGCTAACAAGAAGTTGACATCAGCCAATTAGAAAGCAGCTTTCTCGAGCTTTACGGCACTTGTTGAAACCTGGCGACTTCCATTTCAGACTATGCTTGAAAAAAAATGTTGACACAGTTCTCGATTAAAATTTTGAAAACTGAACAAATGAACATTCAAGAATGTCTTATATATGGTTGCCATTATATGGCAGTGCTTCCCACGCAACACCTCTTCCGTTCAAATGTTTATCTCATTGAAGCGAGAGATAGACGATGATTTTGACGGAATCAGTCGTACGGGCCGTAACTGTCGTTTGGGATACCCGGTGTTAACGTTTCGTGGTTGCATTCCGACTGCCACTTTCATGATCTGGTAAGCGACGCTTTGATTGGTTAGATGAAAGGAGGTTCTGACGTGACCCGTAATGGGATGTGTTCAGATCTTTGTTTAGCGGCAGCAAGAACTAAGATCTGATTTTAATGAGATTGAGAATCCCCACAAGGTTATTATGTAAGCATGGCAGAGCACATTGTCCTTCCAAGTTTGAGCTTGAAAAAAATAGTTTCATAATATGTGTTTAAGCTCAAAATGGATAAAAAAAAAGAAGTAAAACTCACAACAGTCACTGTAATACTGTAAATCGTGAAATTAATGCGTCTCCAAAAGAATGCGACCGCTGGTCCCTAGCCAAAAATGCGACTCAATATGAATGCGACTCCACCCTCCTCTCAAGCATCAGTGGATTTATGTATAAAGAAAATGTCCTCTGTCAGGTACACCGTAATCCATCCTTACATTAATCCAATCACACACCAGATAGCACCGCTTATAAGCGCTGAGTGAAGTACTTCCGCTAAAACAATACATGCGCGCTGGATCGTGTCAGCCTTTGACGCAGTCGTTAAGAACAAAGACACTGTGTTGCGTGGGTGGCGTCTGTCTGGACTTGCAGGTGTGATCAGTGATGACATAAGTTAGTAGAACGCTTGTCTTGACCCCAGCAGTGACAATTCACAGGATGTAATTAGTGTTTGAATGACAATGTTTATATACTTACTACAAGTGCTGCTAAAAAAATCAGTGTTGTGGAATACATAGCTGTTTGTTTTCAGCATATGTCTAAGTTGGTATTTCTCCTATCCAAAATGTCTTATTGTTGATATAAATGCGATGTTTAACAATGCGAAAAAAGACCACTCGCATTTTTCGCATTTAATTCACGCTCGCGTTAATTTCAAGATTTACAGTATATATTTATTACACGGAAACAATCGCACACATCACACTTCCATGTTTACTCTCCTGCTTTGTTCAAAGGTTGTCCCTGGTACAACTCTTTTGGGGCACTTGTTAATCATCACTACTCATGTGACCATATTAAACTAATTGTTAGATCCCCCTCTCTACACCCCCCAGCCCAGAATACCAAAGACCCTGCCTCATATCATTTTATTGACCCCAAGTCTACACACAAACAAAACATGCTACAAGTGTTGCCTTCTGTAATTTGGAATACATGGCCACTACATAGCCAGTCCTCCAAAATGTAAAGCTTCCTGTAAATGTATACTGTGTTTAAAAAAGAAAACCCCTCCAGCATTTAAAAGAAAATTGGATGAAAATATGATAATTAAATTATTGTGGCCTGAAGAGAAAGTATACTCCCCCACTTTTGATAAGGATCTTTCACAATACACACAAATGATTCTCATGAGATGTCGAGTGTATATATTAATAGTTATCCGTATCAGAAGTAGAGCAGTAGACATATGATCCACCATTATGCTGCTGCATGCTCCTCTACAGTGACTAATGATCCTGATACCGCAGCTCCCTCCGGATTGCTTTGAGGAACGGGGCCCAGGGCTAGTGGACAAGGGAGGAGGAAGATCGTGCTGACAGAGTTCGTGTCCGAGATGGTGTGACGTCTCCCCCTGGTGGTGTAGCACTGTCAGTCTGACATCAGATCTCAGTCCAGCTTTTGTCTGCTCAGGGTGTTGAGGAACTCGACCAGAGTCCTGGTAGGCCGCCCTGACAACATCACATGTCAAAGTCTTGATGTAGGAACACATGCTCACAGACACACCAGTCAATATCTCCTTAATGCCCCTTACCCTTAAATACACAGACCGCCTCAATGGTCTAGTGGTAGAGCGTCCGCCCGGAGAGCGGAAGGTCCGGGGTTCGATCCCCGGCCACGTCATACCAAAAGACGTTAAAAGATGGCACCTGTTTGTTACCCTGTCTGGCGCTCGTCATAAAAGGGCTAAAACAAGGACTGGTCGGCTCGGAGTCAGTATACTGTGTCTGAGTGGGGTATTCACGTTAAACTGCGGCATGGTATCTCAGTGCGCTAGCACTATAAATCTGCATCAGTCCGGACTAGTACAAGCAGCCACACACGTGCATGCACGTCGCTATATAAGTGCAATAATCTTGGACACGACGTTAAACCCAATTTCACCTCACCTCACCTCACCTTAAATACACAGAGGTACCAATCCTACCTCTAACATCACCACTAAAACTTGATCAAGACTTTATCTGAAAATGAGAGCCTGGTGAGAGGTGAGGTGAAATTGGGTTTAACGTCGCATCCAGGATTATTGCACTTATATAGTGACATGCATGCACATGTGTGCCGCTGTTTGTACTAGTCCGGACTGATGCCGATTTATAGAGCTAGCTCACTGAGGTGGTGGTCGCCTGATGAGAATCAACTGTATAAGGATCTATACTGTTGCCTTTACAGTAAATAAAGAAGTTGTTATCCATAAATTGTCTCTACTTTGTCATCCCTCAACTTCTAAGTAATCCCTATCAAACAATTTAATAAATCAGTCTGAATGTGAAAGGATATTGAAGAATGTATCTGCTATCTCGCTAAAACATGACCCTGAATGAGGACACCCATACCTGCCATCCCCTTCCCGAGGTACGGCACCTCGTCCTTGTTCATCATCACTCCAGCAATGTCCAGGTGGAGCCACCGCTTGTTTGTCACAAACTCCTGTAAACATGAGGCCATTTGCTAGATGATGGTTTACAATTCCTTCAAACTCCCACACTGACGGGAAGTACCAAGGCACAATAAACAACAAGGAACAAAATCATTTAGTGACTTGATAACAAACGTAAAATAGTTCCCGAATTCTGTCCTGACATTTTTGTTTTTTAAGTGCAAAAATCTCTCTTTGCTTGTTCCTGATGCCATGTTATTCTCTTGCGACAAGCACTGGGTGCTTTGTTCCTGTACACGAAACATTGTAGCCACACGAAATGAGACCCGTGAAGATCCGGGGTAGAATAGGTCTTCAGCAACCCATGCTTGCTGTAAAAGACGACTATGCTTGTAGTAAGAGGCAACTAATGGGATCGAGTGGTCAGGCTCGCTGACTTGGTTTGATGCATGTCATCAATCCCAATTGCGTGGACCGATGCTTATGATATCAATCACTGGATTGTCTGGTCCAGATTTGATTATTTACAGACCGCCGTCATATAGCTGGAATATTACTGAGTGTGGCGTCAAACAACAACAAACAAACAAAAAACATGTGCGTGACCCTCACCTTCAGGAACGCTGCAGCCGTACATGAGCCACCTTCGCGGGAATATTTGCCGATGTTGTTGAGGTCAGCCAGGTCACAATGGGTCACCTGACTTGTGTAGTGCTTGAATAACGGCATCCGCCACACCCGATCTCCTGTCCGGCTACCTGCCTGAGATAGAGGATCATGCTAGTTTAGACTTGTATCAAAGATCTGGCACAGGGAAATGTAAAGTATGTAAGGCTGCATATACAAGCATCAATGTTTCTCAGTACCTTTTTCTATAAAGTGGGGGGGGGGCGGTCGGGTAGCCTGGTGGTTAAAGCGTTCGCTCGTCACGCCGAAGACCCGGGTTCGATTCCCGACATGGGCACAATGTGTGAAGCCCATTTCTGGTGTCCCCCGCCGTGATATTGCTGGAATATTGCTAAAAGCGGCGTAAAACCATACTCACTCACTCACTCTATAAAGTGGGGAGGGAGGCTGGAATTTTGTGTTTAGGGAGGAACACTTATTTTTTCCCACCAGGCACCTAACAAACACAAGTGGGCACACTGAAAATTTGGCTCTTTAATACAATATGATATGAGGCTGGACATTTGAAAAACATTTTTTTATTGTGAGTTGAGTTAAACACCAATTTGAAAATAATACAGTTATATAACGGCATGTCAGCTTGATGTGGGAGGAAAGCCTAAAGTGATGCAGGTCTCAGACGTTTACCACTTTGGTGAAACCCATGAGCACGGGTATGGTGCTGACAAACCTAGAAACATAATCGTGGTGAACCGAGATTTGAGCTAGGATAATAGGTTTCTGGCGTGTCAAAGTGATGCAATTACATACCCATCTGCCTTAAATGACTGTGCTACCTGTTCACCCATATTGGTGACCCGTGAAGATCCGGGGTAGAACAGGTCTTCAGCAACCCTTGTAAGAGGCAACTTATGGGATCGGATGGTCAGGCTAGCTGACTTAGTTGATGCATGTCATTGTATCCCAATTGTGTGGATCGATGCTCATGATCGATGCTGGATTGTCTGGTCCAGACTTGATTATTTACTGACTGCCATTATATAGCTGGAATATTGCTGAGTGGGGCATTAAACAACAAAACAATCCCATATTGGCAATAGAAATGACCATGATTAAAGTGACACATCTAATACTGTTCAGAATTCAGCAGCCTAAATTTTATCTGTTCCCAGCTACGGTTCATCACAAAATGTCACATATGATTCAACATATCAATGAACACGAATACTTCATTAATAAGGTGAAGCTAGTGCACATCAGTTACCTTGTGGATGACGTCCCACATGGAGGTGGAGTTGGTGTACACTGCGGTAGCGCCGCTGCCAAGGGCAACAGCTACAGCCCCTGTTGGAGGTGAAGGTTGAGTGAGTGAGTGAATCTAATACCCCATGCTGTATCTCACCAATACCACACAGTAGGGCTGGGATGAGGAACTTGGGTACTTGGGTCGGTACTGAGAAGGACCTCGGTCCCCCAAGAACTACCCAAACCCGTGGTTGGTCATGTGATATATTGTTTCATGACAAAAATTATCTTGAAGTACCGGTATATGGTTACACTACAAGTCACTAATGTTCACATTTCTTTCTGACTTGCACCCAGACTTTTATATGTTTGAATAAAGATATAACTTCAGTGCAGGGTCGGGTAGGGTCGGGTAATAGGTGGGTGGGTACCCGGGAAGTAAATTTGGACTCATCCCAGCCGTACAACACAGCCTTCAATGTAGAATGGCTTTGAACAGAAAATGCTGTCAGTAATTTCAGATCGTTTTTCCTATAAGAACATAAAGCAAAAGATTCATGCCAAATTTAAATGCAACCCTAGCCAGATTGTCTAGAACATCAGATTAATAACATGTTTTATTATTATTTCAAATCATAAGATTATTTATTAACCAGTGGGCGATAACATGAGCATAATCCATGCCATCAGGGAACTGTCACACAATCTGACAGGTCACACGTAACTATCCAATTACTTAATAGTCAACTCATGAAATGTGTGCATTCCTTGAGATCTTTGTCTGTGAGGGGTCCTGATTCCAAAGGGAGGTAACTGACTTGTCTGTACAAACCTCTATCACTCTCAGCGCACAAAGGACCACATTAAGGCATTTTACACGTTTGTAGTGATAGTGGTTTGTGGAGACAACGACTCAAGCAAAGATACATGTAGTGTCGCCAAGGGAGGTAACTCCAGTGTGCTGGGGTGACTCCTGAGTGTCCCTGAATCCAAAGAGACGTGACCTACAAGGGTACCCTAACAGATTCCTCACAGTGACAGCCGGTTCACTCCGGCTGCCACCTGTCATAGCTCCACACTATTTCTATCATGGAATCAGTCTAGAGAGATTGCAAGGGGGAAGTTGGGTGTCAAAACATACCAACAAACATAAATTCATCTGGGATGGAAGGCGTAAACAATTCACTAGAATGGAATACCCAAAGATATACCCAAACATAAATGTCACTACAATTGGGGGAGGAGGGAAAATTTTCAAGCTTCTTTCAATGGCTGCTTGCACACTGGTGGCAGTGATGATACCGTGAGAGTCACGAAGGTATTGCGATGACACTTGGAGGGTAACAAAGGTGTCAGCGATGTCACTGGGAGGGTAACAAAGGTGTTAGCGATGACACGGGGAGGGTAACAAAGGTGTCAGTGATGTCACTGGGAGGGTAACAAAGGTGTTAGCGATGACACGGGGAGGGTAACAAAGGTGTTAGCAATGACACTGGGAGGGTAACAAAGGTGTCAGTGATGTCACTGGGAGGGTAACAAAGGTGTTAGCAATGACATGGGGGGGGGGCGGGCGAAGGTGTCAGCAATGTCACTGAGAGGGTAACGAAGGTGTTAGCGATGACACTGGGAGGGTAACAATGACACTGGGAGGGTAACGAAGGTGTTAGCGATGACACTGGGAGGGTAACAATGACACTCGGAGGGTAACAAAGGTGTTAGCGATGACACTGGGAGGGTAACAAAGGTGTTAGCGATGACACTGGGAGGGTAACAATGACACTGGGAGGGTAACGAAGGTGTTAGCGATGACACTGGGAGGGTAACAATGACACTGGGAGGGTAACAAAGGTGTTAGCGATGACACTGGGAGGGTAACAAAGGTGTTAGCGATGACACTGGGAGGGTAACAAAGGTGTTAGCGATGACACTGGGAGGGTAACAAAGGTGTTAGCGATGACACTGGGAGGGTAACAAAGGTGTTAGCGATGTCACTGGGAGGGTAACAAAGGTGTTAGCGATGTCACTGGGAGGGTAACAATGACACTGGGAGGGTAACAAAGGTGTCAGCGATGTCACTGGGAGGGTAACAAAGGTGTTAGCGATGACACTGGGAAGGTAACAATGACACTGGGAGGGTAACAAAGGTGTCAGCGATGTCACTGGGAGGGTAACAAAGGTGTCAGCGATGTCACTGGGAGGGTAACAAAGGTGTTAGCGATGACACTGGGAGGGTAACAAAGGTGTCAGCGATGTCACTGGGAGGGTAACAATGACACTGGGAGGGTAACAAAGGTGTCAGCGATGTCACTGGGAGGGTAACAAAGGTGTTAGCGATGACACTGGGAGGGTAACAAAGGTGTTAGCGATGACACTGGGAGGGTAACAAAGGTGTTAGCGATGACACTGGGAAGGTAACAATGACACTGGGAGGGTAACAAAGGTGTTAGCGATGACACTGGGAGGGTAACAAAGGTGTTAGCGATGTCACTGGGAGGGTAACAAAGGTGTTAGCAATGTCACTGGGAGGGTAACAAAGGTGTTAGCGATGACACTGGGAGGGTAACAAAGGTGTTAGCGATGACACTGGGAAGGTAACAAAGGTGTTAGCGATGACACTAGGAAGGTAACAATGACACTGGGAGGGTAACAAAGGTGTTAGCGATGACACTGGGAGGGTAACAAAGGTGTTAGCGATGTCACTGGGAGGGTAACAAAGGTGTTAGCAATGTCACTGGGAGGGTAACAAGGGTGTTAGCGATGACACTGGGAAGGTAACAAAGGTGTTAGCAATGACACTAGGAAGGTAACAATGACACTGGGAGGGTAACAAAGGTGTTAGCGATGACACTGGGAGGGTAACAAAGGTGTTAGCGATGACACTGGGAAGGTAACAAAGGTGTTAGCGATGACACTAGGAAGGTAACAATGACACTGGGAGGGTAACAAAGGTGTTAGCGATGACACTGGGAGGGTAACAAAGGTGTTAGCGATGACACTGGGAGGGTAACAAAGGTGTTAGCGATGACACTGGGAAGGTAACAAAGGTGTTAGCGATGACACTAGGAAGGTAACAATGACACTGGGAGGGTAACAAAGGTGTTAGCGATGACACTGGGAGGGTAACAAAGGTGTTAGCGATGTCACTGGGAGGGTAACAAAGGTGTTAGCAATGTCACTGGGAGGGTAACAAAGGTGTTAGCGATGACACTGGGAGGGTAACAAAGGTGTTAGCGATGACACTGGGAAGGTAACAAAGGTGTTAGCGATGACACTAGGAAGGTAACAATGACACTGGGAGGGTAACAAAGGTGTTAGCGATGACACTGGGAGGGTAACAATGACACTGGGAGGGTAACAAAGGTGTTAGCGATGACACCGGGGGGGGGGGGGAGAACGAAGGTGTCAGCAATGTCACTGAGAGGGTAACGAAGGTGTCAGCAATGATACCAGAATGGTAACAAAGGTGTCAGCAATGACACTGGGAGGGTAACGAAGGTGTCACATGCTGGAAAGAAGCTTGGTCCCCTGAATGCAAAGGGAGGTAACTGACCTGTAAGTGTGGCAAGGTCAAGGATGAGGCTGGGTTTGAAGGTTTCAGCATAACAGAGAGCATCAGCTAGGATGAGTCTGCCCTCTGCGTCTGTATTGTCTACCTGCAGAAACAATCCACAAGTTGTAACAGCATGACTTATACCACAGACTATTTTCCCACTCAGAATAATAAAGGACCTTTGACATGAAACACACATATTTCTTGTAGCTGGTTGGTTTATTTACTTCTTCAGTAAAGTATTGTGAGGTGAGGTGAGGTGAGGTGAGGTGAGGTGAAATGGGGTTTAATGTCGCGTCTAAGATTATTGCACTTATATATAGCAATGTGCATGCACGTGTGTGTGGCTGCTTGTACTAGTCCAGGCTGATGACGATTTATAGTGCTAGCACACTGGGATACCATGCCGCAGTTTTACATGAATACCCAACTCAGACACAGTATACTGACTCTGAGCCGACCAGTCCTTGTTTTAGCCCCTTAATGCAGAGCGCCAGATGGGGTAACAACAAGTACCATCTTTTAACGTCTTTTTGTATGACGCAGCCCGGGATCAAACCCCGGACCTTCCGCTCTCCTGGCGGACGGACACTCTACCACTAGACCACGGAGGCGGTCAATAAAGTATTGTAAATGAATCCAGGTATTGAAGAGGCAGTTGTACCTGTATAGTTTTCCCGTTCATAGCTCGGACGACATCGCCTGGTTTGAGGGCTCGGCTACTGGGCATGTTCTCACACAGAGGAATCAGACCTTGGCGAAAAGATGTTGTACATTGTCAACATGGCACCGGAGAATCAGTCAAGATCTATTTGATTTGTTTGTATGTGCTTGTCGTAAAAGGCGACTAACGGGATGGGGTGGTCAGGCTTGCTGACTTGGTTGATACATGTAATCGATCCCAATTGGACTGGACCAGACAATCCAGTGATTGACATCATGAGCATCGTTCTACACAATTGAGATACAATGACATGCATCAACCAAGTCAGCGAGCCTGACCACCCAAACCTGTGAGTTTCCTCTTATGACAAGCAGAGTCGCCTTTTACGGCAAGCATGAGTTGCTGAAGACATATTCTTTCCCAGACCTTCACGGGTGAGATCTATTACACGGAACCTTATCCCAGCTAAGTGAGACACTGAGTGAGTGAGTGAGTTGGGTTTAATCGCGGCGTGTCAGCTTAATGTGGGAGGAAAGCCCGAAGTGATGCAGGTCTCAGACGTTTACCACTTCGGTGAAACCCACGAGCACGAGTATGGTGCTGACAAGCCTAGAAACATAATAGGGGTGAACCGGGATTCGAACCCACAATCATAGGTTTCTGGCGTGCCCAAGGGACGCAACTCTGCGCAGCGAATCACGGCGCAGAGACGACTGGGCCACCCGTGCCCCCCAACAACCACTTTTAGACCCCTATTTCTGAAGCTCTTTCAACAACCATAGTGACCATTTGATCCCCATTTCAAAAGCTCTGACAAAAATCATGGTGTTCAAAGAATCTATCCAGACACAAATACCAACTAGTGTAGCAGGGCGTTGAGTTATCCCACACATTTGCATCAGGTCCGTGGTCTGTGGTTCGAATCCCATAATGGGACTTGTTCACATTTTATGTCTGCTACACCAGCATACAAACGGGCAGTAACACCAACCAGCACACAAATTACCTTTAATGTTTATGGGCAGCCTGAGCCTTGATGTGGCCAAAAGCGCCCCCATCACACATGCCGCCCCGCCCATGTCTGCCCTCATCTTGTCCATGTCAGCCCCAGGCTTCAGGGAGATGCCTCCGCTGTCAAACGTAATACCCTTGCCTACCAGGGCAATTGGTGTGTCCCCTGGGGCCCCGCCCTGATAGTCGATCTCCAGGAAGAGGGGCTGCTCTACTGAGCCCTTGGCCACCGATAGGAAGGACTCCATCTTGTGCTCCTCGGCCCAGGCCTTGTTCCTGGAGGGTGAGTGAGTGAGTGAGTTGGGTTTAATGCTGCTTTCATTTGTTTGTTCGTTTGTTGTTTAACGTCGCACTCAGCAATATTCCAGCTATAAGATGGCGGTCTGTAAATAATTGTGTCTGGACCTGACAATCCAGTGATTGACATCATGAGGATCAATCTATGCAATTGGGATATGATGACGTGCATCAACCAAGTCAGCGAGCCTGACCACCCGATTCCGTTAGTCGCCTCTTAAAACAAAAACAGTCGCCTTTTACGGCAAGCATGGGTTGCTAAAGACCTATTCTACCCCGGATCTTCGGAGGTCTAATGCTGCTTTGAACAGTATTCCAATTATATCAAGGCATGTCAGCTATATCTGGTAGAAAATCTCAGGTATGGCAGGTCTTACACGTTAACCACTTTGGTGAACATCGCTTAATTCATTTTTAATATGATAGAGTTGGTGGCCATGTTTAAACTCAGTTCATATTTTTCTGAGCAATTAGTAGTAGTCAAATGTTGACAAATGAGTTATGCCCCTTGGATGTCCTTTTATGAAATTAAAAATCACGAGCAATGGGTAATGGGTAACCAGGTTTGTTGTCCAGTGTCTTCCCTTGCATACCACACACATGAGCCTGCTTACCTGACAGTGACTGTACACTGCTGGCTCTTGCCTAGCTTGTCCTGGGCCAACCGGGCAAATATGCTGGGGGTCATGTAGTTGGAGGGTGCCTCCATCAGGTACCGGGCCAGGTTCTGCCCCTCCGCCAACGTCACACCGCGCTGCCAGGATTCTTTCGTTGTCGTGCTGAAACATTGGGTGAAGTATTTAACAGTGCCACACACTGCTGCCACGCCTCCCTCACGTCAGGGCTGAAGCATGGACCATGGATGTGACAGCTGACGGGTATGACGGCTCATGTGTATGACAACTTATGGTATGCTGACGGCTCACAGGTATGACGGCTCATGGGTATGACGGCTCATGAGTATGCGGACCATGGGTATGATGGCTCATGTGCGTGACAGCTCACGATATGATGGCTCATGGGTATGACGGACCATGGGTATGACGGCTCACGGTTATGACAGCTCATGTGTATGACGGCTCACGGTATGACGGCTCATGGGTATGACGGACCATGGGTATGACGGCTCACAGTTATGACAGCTCATGTGTATGAAGGCTCATGTGTATGAAGGCTCATGTGTATGACAGCTCATTGGTATGTGGACAATGGATAAGACGGATCATTGGTATGACAGCTCGTGGTATGACAGCTTATGTTATGACGGCTCATGGGTATGACAGCTCATGGGTATGATGGCTCACGGTATGACGGACTATGGGTATGACGGCTCACAGGTATGACGGACCATGTGTATGACAGTTCATGTGAATGACGGCTCATGTGTATGACGAACTATTGGTATGACGGCTCACAGGTATGACGGCTCATGGTTATGACAGCTTATGTTATGACGGCTCATGGGTATGACAGCTCATGGTTATGACAGCTTATGTTATGACGGCTCATGTGTATGACGGCTCATGGGTATGACAGCTTATGTTATGACGACTCATGGGTATGACGGCTCATGGGTATAACGGACCATGTGTATGACGGCTCATGTGTATGATGGACTATGGGTATGACGGCTCACAGGTATGACGGCTAATTGGTATGACAGCTTATGTTATGACGAGTCATGGGTATGACAGCTCATGGGTATGACAGCTCATGGGTATGCGGACGATGAGTATGACGGATCATTGGTATGACAGCTCATGGTTATGACAGCTCATGTGTATGAAGGCTCATGTGTATGACGGCTCACGGTATGACGGCTCATGGGTATGACGGACCATGGGTATGACGGCTCACAGTTATGACGGCTCATGTGTATGATGGACTATGGGTATGACGGCTCACAGGTATGACGGCTAATTGGTATGACAGCTTATGTTATGACGAGTCATGGGTATGACAGCTCATGGGTATGCGGACGATGAGTATGACGGATCATTGGTATGACAGCTCATGGTTATGACAGCTTATGTTATGACTGCTCATGGGTATGACGGTTCATGGGTATGACGGCTCACGGTATGATGGATCATGGGTATGACGGACAATGGGTATGACGGCTCACAGGTATGACGGCTCATGGGTATGACAGCTTATGTTATGACGACTCATGGGTATGACGGACCATGTGTATGACGGACCATGTGTATGATGGCTCATGGGTATGACAGCTCACAGGTATGACGGCTCATGGGTATGACAGCTTATGTTATGACGACTCATGGGTATGACGGACCACGGGTATGACGGCTCATGGGTATGACACCTCACGGTATGACGGCTTATAGGTATGACGGACAATGTGTATGACGGCTCATGGGCATGACAGCTTATGTTATGACGACTCATGGGTATGACTGACCATAGGTATGACGGCTCATGGGTATGACGGCTCACAGGTATGACGGACCATTTGAATGACGACTCATGGGTATGACGGACCATGTGTATGACGGCTCCTGTGTATGACGGCTCATGGGTATGACAGCTTATGTTATGACGACTCATTGGTATGACGGCTCATGGGTATGACAGACCATGTGTATGACGGCTCATGTGTATGATGGACCATGGGTATGATGGCTCATAGGTTTGAAGGCTCAGGGTATGATGGACCATGGGTATGACAGATGGGTATGACGGACCATGGGTATGATGGCTCACGGGTATGACGGCTAATGGGTATGATGGATCATGTGTATGATGGATCAAGGGTATGACATACTATTGATATGATGCAATCACTTTACATGATATCTCACCTGTCGCCCTTTATGTGGTCTGTGAAGCATGATGTATGAACGCGTGGTTTGCGAGAATCTTTAGCCTTCAGTTCATCATAAGAGAAGAGAGAGAGAAGGGCGCCCTCAGCAGCAGCTGAAACAAGGGAGGTAACCAGTTGAACAAAGGGAGGTAATCCATCAACAACATGCACAGTAGGGAGAAAATAACCTTCTCCGTATTCTCCAAGTAGTTCCAGTTTATCTGATCAAGGTCAAATCTTCCCTTAAGACAGAACTGCTTAAGTCCCCTGTTATCAAGTTACTATACCAGCACAGAGACAGACATACCCTCAGCATCTCCGCACGGATCTACATCCACATTGACCTCCCCGACCTCTGACAGCTGCCTCACACCATCTGAAACATGGAAGTTGTGTATCTGTTAGGTCATTTTATCACAGTTGATAAAAGCTTCAGACTCTGAGGCCTTGCCAAGAAGTTTATAAACTTTTATCAACGCGTTTTAATATCAGATGATGAGAATGAGATTTTATTTATCACACAACATTATTCTTTTTCCAACTTTTTCAGTTTGTAAACAGTAAACCAGTGTCTAAAGTGTAAATTGGCAGAGAGATTTATGAAATCATGGCGTCACAATGGTCTGCAAAGCATTGTGCTGCAATTTTATTGCAGCGATATCTCCTTGGAGATATTCCTTGATCCCCCCCAAGTGATATCTCCTGTGGAAGTCAATCTTGGATGACGAGAGGAGCACAGAAGTCCTACATATTCTTCAGGGAACAAAATACAGTCATGCCTCGTTTATACGGACACTTGCATCATTTCACAATTCGTCCGTATAAACGAATTTCCATATAACTGAAACCAGCTTCTTACTGGAAGAGTTACTTCCCTTCAATTATGCAACTCATGACAGATGACATCCACTCAATCTTTATTCATACACGTTTCAAAACGTCTGTCATGGACGCCATATTTATCGAAGGGGATTACATGTACAATAAACAAGCTCGTCTCAAACGTAACCCAGTGTCACTTGGTTAATTGACTTCTCACGAATCAAAGGATTACCACCAGCAGAAGGATTACCACCAGAGGAAGTGTATTGTCCGGATAAGTGAGACAATTTTGTGTGCATTTCAGTGTTTTATGTATGAAAATGACCGTCCGGTTCCGGAAACTGTATACGGGTAAATTTATATAGTAATTATTTCGTTTTGAATGAAAATTGTCCGGGAACCGAGGTTTCCGGATATCTGAAGTCTGTATAAGTGGGGCATGACTGTATATTGATAATGATAATAACAAACTTCATTTAACAATTTCCATTTCATCCAAGCGATATCTCCTGTGGATCTGTAAATGCCTGTGGCCCCTTGCAGATAAAATGGGGAAAAATTGTTACAGGGCTTTTTCAAGTTCTTATTTTCTTAACTTCAAATCTATTTTACATTTTGTAATTTTGTAAATAATTTTACATTGAATTGTATATTCATATACTAATCCTATCTCACACTATGCTTGTCTTCCTTAATCTTTCAATCCTATGTGGGAACGTGCTTGAACAAAGTTTCCAGCTTCCAAAACATTTCGCCCGAACACATCCCAGCATCACAATGGTCACCATCAAAACAAATGGGTCATGTAATGTAATCCCGTGCGTTTTGACTTTGCATGACCTGATCACCCTACTACCCCTGTCACATCATTCTCTTCCTTACAGCTGACAGGCTTGCGGAGAACTGATGCGTGATGGTCGGGTGGGCATTTAGCATGTGACATAGGATAAGTATATAAATATACAATTTAATGTAAAATTTACAAAACTTAAACTTATCCTGTCTCACACGATGCATCAGATGACCATGAAGACATCTCGTTATGCCCAGTTAGAGTGCTTCGTATCTACCTCGAGGCTGCGCAACCACTTTGGCGTGCCTGTAAGAGACTCTTCATCCCCATTTCCATGGCGACCATCATGGAAGTCTCCTGTACTCCAACCTCCCTTGGGCTTTGTTCAACTTTCCTATGAGCCTACACCTTCACTGGTGTGTCTCCTCCTGTGACGTCCAGTCCACATGAAACTAGAGCTGTCACCTCTACCATGGCCTTACACAGCAATTGCACCCTGTCTGCCATAATGTGGGGCTGTTTTTTTATACTGTCTTCGCTGTCTACTGAGTACACAGCGAAGACATTATCCAAAAACAGAAAAATTTAAATGTCCGGTAAGCAAAATTTTAAACCGGACATTTCAGATTCCCAATTGGACATGTGCGGCGCATATGACCGTTTCCGGACCGGCATTGCTTTTGGTTGCGCCTTGTTGGCCAACTTGAAGCTGGTTCATAACGCTGGTACAGCTGTAGAAAGACAGTTGATATACCAGATGACTGATAGATTATCTGACTGGATCATGAGTCGCACGAATGAGGCTTGGCCCAGTGGGACATTGCCAGAATGACCTTCAATTTAAGGCAGTTGATATGTCACTTGTCGATCTGGTACAAACATTCCACATCACCAACCATCACTGAAGATGTCGATGCAGTGACATTGGTAAGGAGATCGGGACCTGGGAGTTGTCCCTCTGGAGGACTGCACTGGTCCAGTCTGCTGTTGAATAGAGCCTCGATGAACTGGAGTTGTTGAGTGGGAGTCATCTCCGACTTCACAACATTGGTGATCCAACCTAACTGATGAAGAAGCTGCTGTGTTAACTCTAGAAGTTGCACCAACCATCACTGAAGATGTCGATGCAGTGACATTGGTAAGGAGATCGGGACCTGGGAGTTGTCCCTCTGGAGGACTGCACTGGTTAGGTTGAAGCTGAAGTTGACATCTCTGAGCTAGTGCTTGTGCCACCGTCACAAAACCTAGCAGCCATTGCCATTGGTGTAGAGGAGGAACTGTCTGAGTGCCAAAGGCAAGAAATGTTGTATCTTCGACCACCTGTCACGAGGAACAAACATAATGCCCAGTCTGGTGTCGAATTGAGCCCTGATGAACTGGAGTCGTTGAGTGGGAGTTATCTCGGACTTCACAACATTAATGAGCCAACCTAGCTGATGAAGAAACTGCTGTGTAAAGTCGCACGAGGATGCCTGGATCAGCATTGGCCTGAATACAATCGTCAATGTAGGGTTAGAAGACCATCACTTGACTGTTCAGGAACTTCATAATCAGCTTGGTAATACGGACGGAAAGCCATGGGGGCTGAAGAAATTCCAAACAGGAGCACATTCAATTGGTAGTGGTGGCCTTGGAAAATGAACCAGAGGAAATGGTGGTGCTCCCGATGGATGGGTACGCGTGGATACACATCCTGAAGGTCGAGACTGACCATGTGATCGCCTGGCCATATGATCATTTGAAGGAGTGAGATGGACATCATGTGAAAATGCATACATACAATGTGCTGAATGTCTTCAAGATGACTTTCTTTAGGACCAGGAACAATGCCTTGTTCAAACACGTTTCCACATAAGGATCGAAAGATGCAATGAACAGTGTGAGATAGGATCAGTTTAAAAATCAAAATGATATCAATGCAATAATGTAATACTAAGCATTAAAGCCACTTCCTCTTTACTGGTCCTGTTATGAGTGACATATCTCTACAAGGCCATTACATTAGCATCTTCCCGAGGCAAGGGAGTTAACCGACTATAAAAGTCCAGTTTCCACCCTAGGCTCCACAACTAGGCTGGTATTATGGAGTTACAATTTGGCTGGACTAAGGAGTCTATGCATGGTCCAATCAAAATCGCGCACTGAAATCGAAATCCGGTTCGTAAAATGTCATTGATTGCAGGTTTTGCACAGCATATGCACCGCCAATGCGTTGTCAACAGACATTTTCCAAATCCTTTCAAGTTTTTAATCAAGGTGCTCACGTGATTTGATGCACTCCACGATGTAAGACCCGTTTTCTCACAATATAGATCCTGATTGTCGATCCGATTGCCGTGACTGGGCGCCGCCATTTTGTTTGAATCAAATGCAAGTGATACGAGAGGTGGAATCTGATTTGTCCATAGGAGAGGCATAGAAGGGATTTAACTCATAACTGCCACTGGTGGTGCTATGATCGAGCCAAGGAATTCCAGCCTAGTTCGGCAAGGGTGGAAACTGGACTTTTAAAGTCAGTTAACTCCCTTGCAATGCCTCGGGAAGATGTAACATTAGATACAACTTATGGGATAAATTTGGGATTTGTACTGACATTTGCTGCAGACTTGGAGCCCGAATATCAGCACCAGAGCTGACCTAGATACATTCCTTGTGACAAAAAATTACTTTTACCAACATTTCAGACAGTATTGCAATCTACACATATGTATTTCTCTCCACTTCATAGGTCCTGCAGAATGAGGAACTCAATGATTTAATTGAAGCAAAACAGGAAGTGGCTAAAGCAGCCTGAAAATCCTCTTTACACCAACTATCACAAACATATTATGATGATAGATGTAGAGTGATCATGGTGATAGCTTTAAAAATTGTTTTTCCTTAATCATTTATTATCAGCACAAGGGCCAGTTCCAAAAGGTAATCATATACTAAGATGATCCTAACTACCATACTTAATAAGCACCCCTATGAAATAGGACTCTAACTTTTAAAAGGAGTGAGTATGGTTTTACGCTGCTTTTAGCAATATTCCAGCTATATCACGACAGGGGACACCGGAAATGGGCTTCACACATTGTACCCATGTAGGGAATCGAACCCCGGTCTTCGGCGTGAGGAGCGAACGCTTTAACCACTAGGCTACCCGACCGCCCCACTTAATTAGAGTGCCTTAGACAACTGGGCCAGGTATGCCCCCCCGTACAAGTGTAAAGAATGACAACGTACTTGCAACAGCCTTTCTGACCCTCTCTCGGCCCTCCTCAACCTGCTCCTGCTCGTTGTAGCCGACGCCCTTCTTCCCCACCCCCACCACAGCCACGGATGAGAACCCCGCCTCGTCCAGCCCGAACAACACTCGGGTCTTGCCAGCCTTCAACTTCCTCCCAGCTCTGAAACACGGATCAGGTGAAATACAAACGGTTCATGAGTTACACACCTTTCATTGATTTGAACTTCGTCATGGAAACCAGAAAATAATCAGAATCAGGCTGGAGTGTTACAGATTTAAAAAGTGAAAAATGTAGTTGGTAGGTTAAAAAATAAAATAATAAAATGCATTGTACAGGATTTTTTAAATAAGTTACAATCTGAGTTGCTTCTGAATTTCCGATTTTTAAGGCCAGTGGTTCCATAAACCAAGCAAAACAAATGACCTCATTACCTCTCCTACATCTTCATGATCTTGGCAAAATTACCCAGAATATCTGTACAAGAACAAAAATTGGCAGGGATAGAAATTGGCACTAGTCCTTTAGTCCTTGCCAAATTGCCCAAGGTATCAGTAGACCAGAAGAAATTTGCCATTTTTAGGGTTTGGCTATATGTTGTCATCATAAGGACGATTGGACTAAAACTGTTAGTTTCTATTGCTGCAGTTGGTATTCCCCTACTGGTAACAACATATTGGTACATGCACTGCACATCACTCACTGTTTGAGTTGGCGCTGTAACTGTCCGCCACATTGCTTGTTGATTGTCTCCCCTGCCTGACTTAGCTGGATCCCCTCACCTTCCTCGTACACACCCACGACCACGCCCCTATGCTGCAGCGACACAAAGATGACAACAGGCATCACAAGAAACATGAAAGAATCTCTGAAATAATGTCATCCATGTAGAAAACATGTATGTAGCTTAAATCATACTTATTGTGTCACAATGCTAAATCATCATTGCATGGTCAGAACTACTTGAATGGTCATGATGAATGGCACTTCTCTGGGGAACGGTTGCCCAGTTGTCTAAATGCTGCAGTTGGCTTTGCACCAACGCAGAATTGTGTCCAATGGGCGACTAGAATAGCGGGTTCGAATCCCATATGTTCCTATGTTGGTTTGTGCACTGCAGTGACATGAGTCCTATCCATAATCACGAATTACATACGTACCTCCATAGATCAAAACCTTCTCTGTTTGCCACAAGAATATTGCTGACATCAAGTAGAAAACTTGGACAACATTACCCATTTTTTTGTTTTGGTGATATATCCATGATATTACAAGTACCACAAGAATAATGAACATATATTATCACTTGACAAGGAAAAACACTACTTGTCGACAGTGGTGGTAAACTAGCGATTTCATCCCAAAAGGCCAACAGAAAATGTCACCAATCATAACACTTTCCCAAGAAATGACATGTTTAGTCATTTATTTCACACATGTTATTGTCTGAACAACCAAAAGGGCCAGAGAATATTTTACTTTGATTCATGTTATATAATTGTCCCTTGAATCTACCAATGTATTTACTTCACACTATTTCACTATGTAATAATTCCAGAAGCTGGCTCATATTTATATATATTGGAGTATCTGGAATATTAACAATTACAACTTTTTAAACTGTGATCTATATTCTGTGGTCAGTGTAGGTCTGTTTTCGAGAATAAGATAGGCCTATAATTTTTGCTTCTCTTTCAAAATTTATAACATTAGAGTACATACGTCTGTACTCCTTTAATATACTTACTTTAGATATCGTTGCACTAAAGCTTCGAGAAAGAGCTTTGTAATGACAAAAGTTTCTTAACACCGGCCGGTGAAGTGATGAAACTCGAACCCACACCATCTTTGATTGAAGCAGATGAGATTAGAGTTATGCCCCTTTAGCAGGTGCCCATCAAGCTCCTTCCCAGCGCGTGACACCTTCGTTACACTCTCGGTAACATATAGAGAGCTCCGGGAACGTACTATCGCTGTGAGGAGCTTGGGTGCCCATCTCAAGCTCTCTACAGGAGTATGTGTGTAGGGAGCTAGACAGCTAGACTTTCTCCGTCTCCATAGTGATTTGAGTACTCGTAAAGAATATTTGCAGCAGCATTTTTTGCTTGTTTGTTGATTTTATCGTTGTTTTGTTTTGTGTACATTGTATTATATTAATTCTGATCAACACACACACACACACACACACACACACACACACACACAAACCGTTCCTAAAGCCTGAAAAATGTTTTGTTTTCTTTTACTGTTTTTCTTGGATAATAGTTTATTGGCAAAGAGGAAGGAGGAAAAATACAAACAATCAATAATTGCTGTCAGGACTGAGTTCAAGATATTTCTAAAACAACTAACACTTAAAAAGGCACTGATCTAAAGCAATTCCCCGGGACTGGTTGTTGCCTTTGTTATTGTTTTTTGGCGTGAAAAAATATTTTTCACCAACAAATAGCCTATTTCAATATATATTTCTCTTTTACAACTTTACATTACATAATGCACAGAACTGTTCTGTACTCCGGGCTACGTCACTTTTCATTCCACTAAACATCAGTTTGATTCAATTCACCCGTGTAGATCCGGGGTAGAATAGATCTTCAGCAACCCATGCTTGCCGTAAAAGGCGACTATGCTTGTCGTAAAAGGCGACAAACGGGATCGGGTGGTCAGGCTCGCTGACTTGGTTGATGCATGTCATCGTACCACAATTGCGTGGATCGATGCTCATGATATCAATCAATGGGTTGTCTGGTTCAGACCCGATTATTTACAGAACGTCGTCTTATAACTGGATGATTGTGGCGTTATAAAACAAACAAACAGTTCACCTCGTACCGCTAGCTGATAACGCAAAATAATCTATGTATGTATAGGAGGCACGAATGGCCCGGATGTCCGAGACGTACCCGTTCACTTTGCAGTGCCATGTTCCTCGGGTGTACCGGAATCGTATGGTCGTAGGTTCGAATCCCCTGATTCGTCCAGATTATGATCCTTAGTTTGCCAGCACCACACCCAAACATTACCTACATTACTTCGGGTTTTCCTCCCACATTGAGCTGACACACTGTGATATAAACCCAACTCACTTACATAGTACCATAATCCACCCTCGGCTATAAAGGGTAACATAAACATTGCGTTTCTTCACATATCTCGAAATGTGAGAAGGTCTTCAGCAACCATTTCTTGTCGTAAGAGGCGACAAACGGGACAGGTGGTCAGACTCAGTGACTTGGTTGATCGTGTCATCGTATCCAAATTGTGTATACCCGTGAAGATCCGGGGTAGAATAGGTCTTCAGCAACCCATGCTTGCCGTAAAAGGCGACTATGCTTGTCGTAAAAGGTGACTAACGGGATCGGGTGGTCAGGCTCGCTGACTTGGTTACGCATGTCATCGATCCTAATTGCGTGGATCGATGCTCTTGATGTCAATCACTGGATTGTCTGGTCCAGACTCGATTATTTACAGGCCGCCGTCATATAGCTGGAATATTGCTGAGTACGGCGTTAAACAACCAACCAACCAGCAAACAAACAAACAAACATTCAGATTAAAAAAAGACGAAAAGTGATTCACGAGGTGTATCTCTTTATTCAGATAGAAAGTTTTACGACCTTCGGTCGACATAAAAGAAGTAAATAATATAACCATAAATCTTACACATAGCCATCAAGCGCATGCGTGTATATAACCAATGACGTTATAGGTGTATTTAACCAATCACGTTTGCAAGCCTATAACTATTGACTATGGAAAACATACGTATTTGCACACAGCCAATGTCCGTATTGATGCATATAACCAGTAATCATATTCATGGATTTAACCAAGGTTTATCCCCTTTCTATGTTGGCTAAATAAAATTCGAACTCTTTGGTGTCAGCCAATTTATTGAGAGGAGCGGCATGGGTCGAGTCCAATGTTTCGAGTGGGTTGTCGATCTGAATTAAGGAATCGCCAACAACAACCTTAAACCAAATATGTCGCTGTATAGTATACCAAGCTTTCTTTTTTACCGTAATGCTCCACCTGAACATATGACAGGCATTGTAAACACGTATCACAGCAATTTATTAAGATGACATGAAGTGGGCACCCCTAAAGAAAACTATGCAAGCCTTGCAAGTTTCGTTTCACGCCGCACGCCTCCATTATGACGTCATACCTCTCATTGTGACGCACAAGATATGTCGTGTATAGATAAGCGCCAAATTTCAATCTGTTGTTCCCAAACTTGAAATACATTCTCTCTGTAGATTTCTATTGAATTTACTGCACAAATGTATTGCGATGTGTGTGTGTGTGTGTGTGCGTGTGCGTGTGCGTGTGCGTGTGCGTGTTAGCCTAGTGGTCAAAGCGTTCGCCCGTCACGTGGAAGACCGGGGTTCGATTACCCACATGGGTTCAATGTATAAAGACCATTTCTGGTTTCCTCCGCCGTGATGTTACTGGGATATTGCTAGAAGCGCCGTAAAACCATACTGACTGACTAAAATGAATATAGTAGTAACCGCAATTTTGCATTTTGTAACCCATGATTGTACATATAAATATTTACATGTGCCTACCGATAATCACTAAAAAAGAAGTACTTTTCTATTAATATAAGCTTCCGCGGTGATGCAACCGTTACTTCGGCTGTTTCAATCAGAGGGGGTTTTCCTGGGATTGATAACCTCTGATCCACCAATCAGAATCGAGTAATTCCTATATTCATGGTAGAATGCATGTTTATAGTCCATAAAGTAACCATTTTCTGTCACAAACTCTTTCTTTGAATCTGTTACTTATTATGACTGTCCTATATGTATCTCAAGCGACGAAGTCACCGCCCATCTATTGCTTCAACGCAATCAGGGCCACAGAAAGCTCTCCGTTAAAATAAGCTCAGGATTCAGGCTCGGATCTTGTTGGTTACTCTGAAAGCAAAATGCAGGGTGTAAATGAATCAGATACATAGTATTACATGCACGGCAACACCTGATGAAAAACTTGCCAAATACATTTCTTTGGGAAGTTGTTTTTTTGTTGCTTAACGCCACACTCAGCACCATTTCAGCTGTATGACAGCGGCCTGTAAATAATCGAATCTGGACTAGACAATCCAGTGACAGACATCGCGAGCATCGATCCACGCAACTAGTCGCCTATTACAACAAACATGGCTTTCCTAAGATCACTCACAACCTGGTGTTTCACGGGGGTGAATCTGAATGACATATCTATGTGACAATATCGTGTAAATATAACCAATAATCATATACATGTACATATAACAATGGACACACACACACACACACACACACACACACACGTAGAGGTTGGTCAGCACCATACACGAACACGTGGGTTTCACCAAACCGGTAATAGGGCTGGGACGAGTCAAAATTTACTACTCGGGTACCCACCCCCCTATTACCCGACCCTACCTGGATACCCACTGTAGGCCCCAAGAGATAGGTACAAAATTTCCGATGAGGTATTTTTTTACCATAGCCCTGGCAAAACGTATTTAGATACACGTATCAAACAATCTGGTCATGCCTACACTGAAGTATGAAAAGTCAGAAGAAATGGGTGCATAGTCAGAAAGAAATCCGAACATTAGTGACTTGAAGTGTAACCATAGAGTTCCAGATAATTTTTGTCATTAAACAATATATCACGTGACTAACCACGGGTCCGGGTAGTCCTGTAGGTACCCAGGTCCTACTCAGTACTCACCCGACCCGAGTTCCCGAGTTACCCGTCCCAGCCCTAACTCGTAAACGTCTCAGACCATCGCGTTTACCTTGCTCCCACATCAGTCTGACAAGCCACGATCTTACTGAAATATTAAGCTACGTTAAACCTAAACTAGTTCCACAGCTGGTTCGCGCAACTCGTTTTGCGCTTTTAGCCAAAAGGCGGCAACCAAAAAATGTGGTATAAATCTGTACCATATCCGGTTGTAGATGCGCATGCCTGGCGTCCCTGAATACGACCGTAAATAATCATGATACATGTCTACACATGGAAAGTTTGTTTTGCGCGATAAAACTTACAACGATAGCTCTGTTGATATTGGATCTCCCTGAATAGAGCGATTTTACTTCACTGGCAAACGCCAAGTAGTCCGCCACTTGTGGTAACCGAGGACCAATGAATGCTAGGTTATGTGTCGTCCAATCGCAACCTACGAGAAATCGACCACCGCCTGTCTACTCGTTTAGGTAGACAGGAGCCGAGTCAATGTTATGTTGGTTTGTTGTTTAACGCCGTATTCAGCGATAGTCCTGCTATATAACGATGGTCTGTAAATAATCGTGCCTGGACCAGACAATCTAGTGATTGACACCACGAGCATCGATGTACGCAATGGGGATACGATGACTTGCTTCAACCGAGCCTGACCACCCGATCCCGTTAGTCGCCTCTTACGACAGGCATGGGTTGCTGGAGATCCACTTTAAATCCGGATCTTTACCGGCAACTTATTTCAATGGACAGAGAGAGTGTGTGGCTTTGGTTTATGCCACGCCTACGTATCTCACGGTTTGTTATGTAAAGGAATAAAGCCCACCATGACTACAGTGACCGCACAGGGGCGGGGTGGTAGCCTGGTGCACATGGTTAAAGCATTCGATTCTCGACATGGGTACAATGTGTGAAGCCCATTTCCGGTATCCCCCGCCGTAATATTGCTTGAATATTGCTAAAAGCGGCGTAAAACCATACTCACTCACTCAGTGACCCCACGGTCACGTGTATGAATGTGACAGATCACGGATCGGGGTTTAGGACGACTTTTGAATTCAAACGACCAGCGGATCTTGACAAGGGACGTTGTCTATGTACACTCAGCACCCAAAGACGCCTTCAACAAAAGTTTGTA